AGGTCATAAATGCAACATCATTGTTCACTAAAAATTATGGACATTTTTAGTATTTTTCTTAACTCTTTGACAGCATTTACCCTTTCAACACTTCATCCTCTCTGAAGCTCTTGCCTTCCATATCATTGAACTTCTGAAATTTTCTTTACCTGTCTGATGCTCCATTGACAACTTATCTACCTGTCCTTACTCAGAATCCCTCAGTCTCTGCTACCTGTACACTCTTCCCAGGTTGTCTTACCCCCTGCTCTGGCTTCAGTTATGAATAAATCTTGAATCTTTTTTGTCTATCCCTGACCTCTTGAATTTCAGGCTCATCTTATCACTATTTCAAATCAATGTCTCAGCAGCTTAAGCATCTGCCTGACAAGCATAAAGTCCGGAGTTCAATCCCCAGTACCAAAAAAGTACAATTATCAAATAGATGTCTTAAAATTAGTCTGTCACAAATATAACTCATTGTCTTTCCTTAAAACTGCATTTCCTGTTTGTTGGCTCACTAGCATTTGCAGGACTGTGGGAAGAGAACAAGTGGAGGCCCACTTGCCATATGTCAGAGTAGTTGAATGTTATCATTCAAGCCAACTGATAAACTATATCTTTTTTTCCTTTGACAAAACTTTGTAACAGCCTAGAAGACCAATTTGAATTTAGAATTCTTGTACTTCTTGGAGTTCTGGGCCAAGATATGGTACCATGGAGAGAGTTGACCCCCTGGTTCCAACCTCATTCCACACACCTTCTTTTCCCACCTAGGCTTGGTCTTGCAGTTCAAGGGGTCTGGTGTTCATGATTTTGAGCACCCAGAGCCCACATGTCCAGCTCTGCTCATACCACCCAAGCTTCATTTCCCTCTGTGTTTTCCCTGAATTGGCTTGAGCACAACAGGTGAGAGGGTTGGGCTCAGAAAGAGGAATTGAAAGTTGAGTTCATGAGGGCAAATCAAGAATAAGAGCCTGTCCCGAGGAAGAAGGGCAGTCATAGGGCTGGGGAAACAGGCAGAGTGAGAAGTGGCAGAGAAAGATCCTCTGAAGCACTTGTAAGGATCCACCTTGGCTGGACATGGGGATAACAAGTTCTGTGCTATCAGTCATCCAGTTGCCTCAGCCAGGGCAGCAGATATATTCTGGTTACTCTGTTTATTATTGCTCACATTCACATGGTTAGGGTTTCTGTTTTCTTACTAAATAACTTGAATGAACTTCTGTTTTTCTGCAGTTCACACCATCACCTAGTTCTGGAGTTGTTTCAACAGCTGCAGTCTAACCCATTTCCTTACTTGTCTTGAATGCATTTCCCCCACTTTTCTTTATGAACTTTCGGAGCACAAACATGACTATTCTGTTAGAAACCATGTTTCTGCTTATTTCTTGCAGGAGAAAGTCTAAGCTCCTTAACATGTAACTCGTAGTCCATGCCAGTGACCCCCGCTGACACCTCTAGTTTCCCTGTTCACACCTCACTGACCCCTTAGAAACACACTAAACACACACAAATATACCTCACACACACCACATGTACCCACATGAACAATACATATTCATAGTATCACAGATACCATAGAAATACATTCAGCCCATATCATACATACATTCATACATGCAGCGTGCACACATTCACACACTATCAGAGAAATACAGAGCCATATGTATACATTTACTCACACAACACATGCTCAAAGTACAGTTACCTCCTCCTCTTTTGTCTCCTGCCCCTTCTTTTGCTCAACTGGAGTTTGAGCCCAAGTTCTTCATGCTGTGCTTTTTTTTTTTTTTTTTTTTTTAGACAGGGTTTGTTAAGTCATTATGTTATATAGGTTGGGCTCAAACTTGTGACCCCCCCTGCCTCAGCCTCCAGAGTTCTGGGATTGAAAATGTGTGCCCTAAGACTGGTGAGATAGCTCAGTGGACTAAGCACCTGCTTTACAAGCACAGGGACCAGGGCTCAATCCCTAGTCCCACATGCTGCACTGGCCCCATCCCTGGGGCACGCTGAGCTGGTCGAAGGAGTCCCAGCATGCCTATAATCCCAGCACTGGGGAGGCTGAAAACAGGAGAATCACTATGAGTCCAAGCTGTGTAGTGAGCTGCGTAGTGAGACCCTGTACCAAATACATAAATGAAAAAAAAAAAAAAAAGTGTGTTCCCTGCTCCCAGCTCACTAACATTTTCTCTCATATACTAATGTATATTCTCACACAGATACTCACATATATCCACATACCTCAATCACTTCTATATCCACACACCTACACATTACAACAATGCTTATATGCACATATACTCTAATACATATTACACATGTTCACACACAGAAGTTGAACTTCAGTTCTCATTCCTACAACCTCTAAGAACAGGCCTTTTTTCAAGCTTCTCTTCCAACTTCAACTCTCATTTCTGCCTTCAGCACCAGCTGCCTGGATTCCACATCTCCAGAAATCCTTTCCTGATCTCTAAACTTGGATGACCTGAGGTAGACCAGCAATTCTCTTGTTAGTCAAACTTAAGGCTTATAGTTGGGCATGGTAGTGCGTGCCTGTAATCCCAGAAGTCTGAGTAAAAGAAAAATAAGGAAATATGAAATAAATAGTAAAATATGAAGCAAACCTGCCATATTGGGGATTGTATTATAAATAAATGAAAATCCTACTATAGTGTTGGGACAGGATATCATGTCTGCATCTATGAATACAACAATATGCAATGTATTAATTATTGAAACTGTCATACTGAACTGTTTTGAAACTCTCATTCCTATTTGTTTCTCAAAATTAATTTTAAAAAAGAAAAAAAAAAATCCCAGAAGTCTGGAGGCTGAGGCAAGAAGATTGTTATGAGTTGAAGACTGGCCTGGGCTACAAAGTAAGCTCAAGGCCAACCTGAACTGCATACCGAGACCCTGTCTCAAAGACCGGAAACAAAAATAAAAACAAAAACATAAATGTAAGGCTTGGTTGGTTGTCTGAGTATAAGAAACCAGAATCTAGCTTCTTAAGATGAGATTTCTTGGGGTGAGGGAGATGGCTCAGTAGAATAAATGCTGCCTGGCGAGCACAAGGGCCAGAGTTCAATCCTCGGTTCTGCCAAAAAAACCAAACAAATAAACAAAAAAGCCCTAATCTCAGGGGCTAGTGAGATGGCTCAGTGGTCTAAAGCACTTACTTAGAACAAGCTTGGCAAAGCACAGGGACCTCGGATCAATCCCCCAGCACCACATGCCAGCCAGCCCCACCCCCTGGTGGGCTGAGTTGGCCACACATATATACACATAAATAAATGCATAAATTAAAAAAAAAAGATGAGATTTCTTAAATGTTGGGCCTCCCCATTCATATTTTTGTCACCCTGCCAGTAGGCTCTGAATCATTAATAATACCCCCTTTCAAACATGAGGGCTCTATGCAATTGTGATTACTACGGAGAAATGAAGACCATTCTACTTTAGCCAGGCTGGATGGCAGGAGCACTGTGGTAGGGAGCAGGGGAGTAAGATAGCAGGAGAGGAACACAGACTGAGGACTGTAACGTCCTTGTGCAAAGGCCCAAAGTCTCCGAAATGTCGCCTTTGGAGTGAACCAACCTCTAATGACTCACTGCAGAGCCCTTAGAGGGGATCATTACGCCCGGAGAAGCACTGAAGCCATGCAGTGAGTGCGCTGGCTGAGGGTGGAAGGGCAGGGCACCACAGCCTGAGAGTAGCAGTGATTAACATGAGTGAGGGGGGCGGACAACCGACTTGGGAACTTGGGAAGAGGGGCCTGGGGGAGGGTTATTAGTCTCAAATGCCAAGCAGAGGTGGAGAAGGCTGTGGCACCTAAGGAGCCACCCACAACTTTTTCTAAAACAATGGTGTTGAGGTCTGTTGCTAAGCTGTACAGGCTTAAATAGGCAGAGGCCAGAAGAACAAAGTCCTCTCATGGGGGAAGAGTTTCTGCCTGATGTTGCACAGAGACAAGGCCCGGCAGGAAGGGAGAGGGAGAGGTCTATGACAGGGAGCAGGTCACTACAGAGGTGGGTAGGCTCTGAGCGCACGTGGACAGTTCTGCATTGGACAAGAAGGAACACAGCCTTCTCTAGGACCAGAAGAGTGTTACAGGGAGGGAAGTGGTGCAACAACCAGCAGTCTTTTGTCACCTGCTTACACCCTTGTAACCTTCACCAACATACTGTGTTGTGTCAGCCACATACGCAATGACCACATACGGGAAGCTGCCTGCCCACTGAAATTTTCTGCCTGGTATCTCCAGTGCTGGCCACTCTTCACATGGCTTCCCATTCTTCTAACTCCTCTCTCCTTCCTGTCACCACAAAGCTCTGTGATCCTTGTTGTATTCTGACCTCTGGCCACTGACTCAGTCCCTATACTTAGGCCTAGTTCACAGTTGCCATTTGAGCTCCTATTCTGCATACTGCAACTTCATGGGCTGTTCTGTTTCATCACACTCTCTACATCTCCAGCCCAAGGGCTTTTGTCATACTCCAACAATTCTCAAACCTTGAGTTTCAGTCCTAGTTCTCCTCAGCTTCTAGATGTGGGTTGTCAGTTGCCTTTGGCCATCTCTAACTGGACAGTAATGGGGAAGAAAGAAGGGGAGCTAATGGTGAGGACTGGGGGAAGCTGAGATCAGACACACAGGCAAGGTGGGGAGGCTGAAGAGTAGTGACGTGTTGGATCCAGTATGGAAGCCTGTTTAGATTCCAGAGCTGGGAAGTCTTAGTCTATGGTGCTGCTTGGAGGTTTGGGTTAGGAGAAGGATATGGGTAGGGGCTCCTATCATCAGGTGAGTGCAGTGGACTGGGGCCTAGCTAGTTGTGCCCTTTTGTCCCTATGGTCCTGTGTGCTCATCTTCCCTTCACCTAATGGAGTCAGTGTTCCCCAGATTTGTTACTACAGGTATGTATGTTCTTCCAAGATTTCTTGAGAAACCAGCACATTGAGCCTCTCTGCACAGTCTTGTACTCCCCTCCCTGCTGCCTTTGAACCCAGCCTCTTATAGTTACCCTGGTGTTGAGCAGGGCCTGTTGCCACCTCGCCAAGCCCACTGGCAAGCGTACTGATGTTGATGCTGCCCGCCTGAGTCTTGAGCGCAGACCTGAGTTCCTGATTCTCCCGAATGAGCCGCACCAGCTTCTTCAGTTCCTCATTCTCATGCACCAGCCTCTCTATTTGATGCCGAAGCCCTTCATAATTGGTAAATAGAGACATACCCTGGGGCAGCAGAGAAGGTGCAGCCCACAGGAGGGCACTGCACCTGGATGCTGCCCAGGGCCCGGGGCCTTGCCCGAGCTGGAAGAGGGCACCAGAGTCTACAAGGGATGGCCTGCTGAGCCCTGGCTATTGTGAGGTCAGAGGCCCTCTTAGTCTCTGCTCTAAAAGGCTCAGCTGTCTATGCCACTGGGCCAGTACACAGGCCCTGTCTTGTCCTGGAAAGCCCTGATCTCATGTCTATCTGTTCAGCTTCACTCGAGATGCTTCTTTGCATAGACTTCATTCCCACTGCAAGCTAATCTCTGTCTATTGGGAAGGGTGTCCTTTCCTTCAATCTTACGCATGCCTGGATTTAACTCTCCAGCCTTGTTATAATGATGTGCTATCCTGGATGTCTGGATACTGGCCAAGATTTCTTCATTCCCAGGTACCAAGTCCTTTGCCAGTTGCTGGCCCAGGGATTCCTTCATCTAAGAACCTGGCATCTGGCTTTCTACAACTTAGAGTTTCCATTTCTGGTGAGTTAGGTTCTCTTGTTCCAGATCCCTGGCAGAACTTTCTTTGCACCTGGGTCTCTGCTCCCCAGATTCTTGAATTTTCCTGACAATCCTTTAAGAAGCCAAGACAACATTGCTCACCTGGTTCTAAGAATTTAGGATGACTTTTTCTTATAGCTATCTAAGGAGAACTGCATGGGACTGACCTTAAGAGTCAACAGAAGCTGCATCCTTAAAACATCTACTGGCTCTGCTCCTGTGGGTATCTGCTTTCAAATCTCTTCATGGAGCAGAGGAGGGTGAAGTCCAGAAATAGGCTAGTGGGCAGACTCCTGGTAGAGAGTGGAGATGAGGAAAGTGGAAAAGGCTAGCCAGGGCTGGAGTCAGTCTGAGTTCAGCATTCTACTGGGACCTCACAATGGGAGGCCTGCTTTCCTTCTCTGATGACCCAGACCAAAGTCCTGGCTGAGTCACTCTGGCCCCAGAGAGTAGAACTCCTGGAGACCAGGGCTGAGTTCTCTTTATTCTGCTTTATCATTTGCATACCCAGCTGTGGTCGTGCATGCCTGTAATCTAAACATTTAGGAGGCTGAGGCAGGAGAACTGTTTTAAGTTCAAGGCTAACCTGGACTAGTGAGTTCAAGGCCACCCTGAATTACAGTGTGACATCCTGTCTCTCTAAAAGTCAAAAAACATGCTGAGTGCAGTGGCACAGGCCTATAATCCCAGCATTTATG